GAATGAGAGGAAAAAAACAAGAAAGTGAAAAGATAGAAAAGAGCAAAAGAATACAATAAAAAGATAAATAGAGAAATAGGCAAAAGAGAAAAAGGGGGATGGGTGAGATGAAAGATCGATAAAAATGAAAGAAGAGGGAGAGAAAGAAATGAACAGATAAAAAAGGAAGAGAAGTTGGAGAAAAGTAAAGGAGAAAAATAAGAGGAAGATAAGGGAATTGAGGAGGAGGGACTTTTCTAGTTATTGTCAGCCAGCAGCCCTCAGAGCAGGCAGCTGTGGCAGAATCCATAGATCCCCAAAGATGTGCACCTGCATAGGTGAAAGGAGCCTAATGTGAGTGGGCATCTCCAAGAGAGAAGGCTTTAGGTACATGTCTTGTGCTTAGTGTGTGAAAGAGCACCAAGTGATGCAGGTGTGGGAAGGGATTGCTACAACCCCTGGATCTTTCTGTTTGGAATGGGTTGCTGAAGGTGGTGTTCAGCCATTAATCACAGCCCTGTGGCTCGGACCCACCAGCTGACCTGCAGGAGAGATGAGGCAGCCCTTCTCTACAAAGATCCACAACTCCTGAAACCCCAAGAATAGCTCCACTTCATCCCAAAAAGAGTCACTATGAGTTGGGATTGCCCCAACAGCAATGAGTTTGGTACGGGGTTTGGTTTATTTGGGGTGAGTTCTATTCCCTTTCCATTATTCTTCACTCTGGAGCTGCTTAAGCCTCTGAAAGTCTGACCCACTCCCTGTGCTTTCCTCTCCCACCTCCCACACAGCTTTAGCTCACTTTGAAATCCTCCCAGTCATGAAGCCCCCCGCCCCCAACTCCTTATCCTCCTTTGTGTTTGTAATGCCTTCTCCTCAGCCGGTCCAGCTTCTTTCTCTTTCTAGTCACTGATCTTGCTCCATCTCAGTTTACTGTCTGTGCTCAATCTGATACTTTTTTTTTTATTAGATGCTCAGGAATCCAGGATCATTATTTGTATCTGTTTCACTCCATTTTTCTGGATCTCTGTTATAGAGGGATTCAGTGGAATGTGTTAGCAGGATGCCATTTTGTCTCCACCTGCCTCATTATGTTTTAAACACCTATGAAACCATTATCGCAATCATGATAATGAACATTTCCATCACCTCCAAAAGTTTCCCTGTGTCACTTTTTGGGCTAGGCTTTGTTGTTGTTGTTAAGTGCCGTTGAGTCATTTCCAACTCATAGCGACCCCATGCACAGCCGAACGAAACACTGCCCGATCCAGCACCAGCCCCACAATCCCTGCTATACTCGAGCCCATCATCGCAGCCACTGTATCAATCCATCTCCCTGAAGGCCTCCCCCTCTTTCGTCGACCCTCCACCCTACCAAGCATGACTTCCTTCTCCAGGGAATGGTCCCTTCTTACAACATGACCAAAAT